GCTCCAGCGTGGGGTCCTCCACGGGCTGCAGGTGGATATCTGCTCCACCGTGGACCTCCATGTGCTGCAGGGGGACAGCCTGCCTCACCATGGTCTTCACCACGGGCTGCGGGGGAATCTCTGCTCCGGCGCCTGGAGCACCTCCTCCCCCTCCTTCTTCCCTGACCTTGGTGTCTGCAGAGTTGTTTCTCTCACGTATTCTCACTCCTCTCTCATGTATTCTCACTCCTCTCTCACGTATTCTCACTCCTTTCTCCGGCTGCAGTTGCACAGGGTGGTTTTTTCCCCTTTTTAAACACGTTATCCCAGAGGCGCTACCACCGTTGCTGCTGGGCTCGATCTGGGCGGGCGGCGGGTCCGTCTTGGAGCGGGCTGGCATTGGCTCTATCGGACATGGGGGAAGCTTCTAGCAGCTTCTCACAGAAGCCACCCCTGTAGCCCCCCCGCTGCCAAAGCCTTGCCACGCAAACGCAATACAGGGCTGCGCGAGCAGTCTTGAAGGCACTGGGAGCCTTTACATGGGAGCAGATATTCAAGGTGAGGTCACCCGTTTCTGTGCAGAGCAAGATCAGTTGTAGGAGTCAGGTCTGCATCCTTATTTAAAGGCAAGGAGTCATGGTAAACTGACTCATTGTAATTCATTGTTTTAGATCTGACAGGTATTTGAGCAGGGCAGAGAACCTTCGGAACTGTGTGTACTCAACGGTATAATTTCACTGCTGATTAAACTTTCACCCTTTTAATGCCCTAAAAAACACCCATTAGCTCTGACGAAATACGCGACTCCAACATTCGCGTTCAGTCTCAGCTGGCATTCACACTTCCCCGTGAAAGTGCTTCTGTAATTGGCTTGTGGACTTCAAACAACAAAAGCAGAGAGTATTTGTTCACAGCTCCCTTTGTCCTGTTCTCTTTTAATCCCTTCACGTTTATTCAAATGCGTGTTGGTTTTTTTCTGAGCAGTTATTAATAGGATTTGGTGATCTTTTTTTAACCAACAGTTTTGTTTAGTGCAATGTTCTTTCACGTGCTCCTTTTTATATAGCATGGTGTACTCGTTCATCCTGCGATCTTTGTTTTGTTTTGGAGAAGAAAAAATGGTATTGTTTCTACGAGTGGTGGAAGTATCTGGATTTAAAGGTTGATCCTGTACCAGAGGGAGCTGAACCAAGTCCTTATTTCTGCTTCTGCAGCGTTCACTGGAAGGGTGTTTTCGGTGTGGCCCCAAAGGACTCCATTCTGGTGTCCGTCGTTTTAACTGTTAACTGTGACATTGGCACTTGGGCATATAAAAGGTGGGGAGGGCACCAAGCTGGGAGGGCTTCAGGGAACGGGGTCAGAACTCAAAATGGAGAAGTTGCCTTGATTCAAGACAGTGAAACTTAGTAAAAAGCCAGTAAAAAGTGTGTGCTTAGGGAGGAGAACGCCCAAATACAGAGCACGGATTACGGGACGGGCGTATAGCAGAAGCGATAGAGGGGACTGCAAGCTACAAATGAAAGAAGAGTTGACAGTATGGCGAAAAGGTGAGTCTCAGGGAGGTGTTAGCTGGACTGTGAGAGAACTGTGGGAAAAGGTTATTTCTTGTGTTCTGCCTGGTGCGGATGGTGTCTCGGCTGGAGTACCGCTGCAGTTCTGGGCAGCGCATCTTAAAATTACGTAGGTTTCATTTAGGTTTCCATAACGGGGTCCTGTTGTGGGTTAACCCGGTATACAGTTAAGCCCCACAGGCCACCCGGTGCTCGCTCACTCCCCCCCGGTGGGATGGGGAAGAGAATGGGAAGGGTAAAAGTGAGAAAACTCGTGGGTATCGCGCCATTCAGCAATAGCTAAGACGTTCCTGTGTTATCAACACCGTTTTAGTCACAAATCCAAAACATAGCACCATGCGAGCTACTCTGAAGGAAAATTAACTCTACCCCTGCCAAAACCAGTACAAGTCCATACGGAAAACCTAAAGGAATCGCGTTTTTCAGTCTAGAAATGAATATTTTGATGGGGATGTAGTCCGGCACGCTGCTCAGGGACATACTGCGTAGACTGAAAGCCTGTTTCCATTTGACCACCGGGAGAAGAACAAAGTCAAATCATCTTACAGACAGTATTGGGAATATCTGTCTGGCTGCTGAGATGGTAAAAGAGGGGGAGAGGCTGTCTTGCAGTGTAAAAACCTCCAACAGAAGAGAATCTTCGAGTAATCTCCTGTGCTGTGAGGCTTATCAGACATCGTCTGGATTTACCTGATCCTGCCATAAAAGTATAGGTAGCAAGACCTGCTAGTTCTATGGTCTTTTACGATTTTATTATTATTTGGTTGGAATAACTTTTAACAGTTACTTTTGAAAGTTGCTATTTGTTAGTTAGTCGTGAGATTCTTTTTCAAGCTCTGACTCGAGTAATCTCCTGTGCTGTGAGGCTTATCAGACATCGTCTGGATTTACCTGATCCTGCCATAAAAGTATAGGTAGCAAGACCTGCTAGTTCTATGGTCTTTTACGATTTTATTATTATTTGGTTGGAATAACTTTTAACAGTTACTTTTGAAAGTTGCTATTTGTTAGTTAGTCGTGAGATTCTTTTTCTTAAGCTCTGACAAAGCTGGGGGGGGGATCTAAAACAATGCGTAGTTCTGCCACGCTGAATGCAACGACAGAAGTTGTATTTTCAAGCACCGGGTTGGATTCTGGTCAGCCCAGAATGGCTCTGTACTGTACCCAGCATACGCGAGAGAAAGTTTCATTCAGTATTGGTCGCTCACTGCGTGATGACAAGTCACGTTTGGGTCGTTCTGTTTTTTTTTTCCCCTGCAGAGCCGTGTCAGATTGAAGTGCGGTTGCTGCTGGCCTACAATTCCAACAGGAGCAAGGCATCTGCTAAAATTCCTAAATCTACCTGGAGCGAGAGCTTGGAGGCTCTCCCGCAATCTGAAAACAGCATAGAGGGGACCATACCCTTCAGCAAACCCGTCAAAGTTTATATAATGCCCAAACCTGCCAGACGGTGAAGTCTGACGCCAAAAGAAATACATTTATGGGATTGTTGGGTTACCTGAAAACAACATGCTGTGTTCCAAGGTAGTGAACCAAACCAAAACAGACTTACACCAGTCAACCATAGAAATAAAGCTGCCGAAGAACGATTGGTCTCCTCTGTTAAGAAGCAGATAGACCGATGCAGGAGTTATTCAGCTAGTTAAGGGTAGTTTCAAGAAAATGCAGGTGTTTCTATATTGAATCAACAAAATCAAGACAGTTCTCAGCATTCCAGTAGTATTTCATTGGGCTGTATCTTCAGTTTTCACTTGCCAAAAGTTTCTCTCCAAGGCCTCTAGGTTTTCTGCTATGTATTTACTATGTAAATGCTTAGGCACATAAATCAATGTTATTTTTACTGTACTCTGAAATGAAAGCTAAGGAGTTTGAGGTTTGTTGTTTTGTTAGGTTTTTTTTTTAAATGTCTAAAACTTGTATTTGTGCATTGGTACCTAAATTCTTAGTAAAGAAAAAAATAAAATCTAAAGTCCTGCTGTTCTTGTGTGGGAACTGCGTCTCAAAGTGCAACTGCCAATTGCCGTAGGCTCAATCCTGAGCTATTTTACATCCCGTACTGAAGCTAGTACAGTTTTGGGGAGGGCACAGGTTGTCCACGTTGTGGTGCGGGGGGAGGAGGAACCCGTTGGTGCAAGCAGCAGAAACTTCAGTTAGCAGGACATGGGGTTTAGCTGAGTTACAGCAACAAAACAGTATGTTTTGTAATCCAAGTCTCTTGCACATTTGTACGCCTCTAGGAACAATGCGATTAAATACCACGGGTTGAAAAATTACTAACTCCATCCCACTAAGTTTTACAGACTCCGTTTCTGCGTGGTGATCTTGGCCTGAACCAATCTTGCCGAGATGAGAAAATTGTTTAGTTTTTCAATTCAGCAGCAGTTTTGGCAGTCGAAGTCTCTCTGGTCGGCTGAAGTAGCGGAACATGCTCTCAGTTAAGCAGCAGTCAGGCAGCTTGTCCGTGTTCCCCGAAGCGGGTGAGCTGGGAGTGCCGAGGGACAGGCACTTCCTTCTGGCATTCCTGTCGGGAAGCGTGTCTGCGCGTCGCTCCCGTGTGCAAGGCTTCAGCGGACTGAGGAATCTCCAATGATTTGTAGCAATCCCCTGGTAGGATTTTCTCAGAGCACTTAATGTGTGAAACTCTGTAGCGTGGCAACCAAACGTTACCTGTGTTCGTCAATCAATTGCTAAAAAAAGTAAACAAAGCAGTGAAGAAATACTTTCCAGTTGTACAGAGATCAGTGTAAATAATAACCCCTTATGTCCTTTCCTACAATAAAATTGGAAAACTCGCGCAGATCTGTTTCCTCTTTATTATATGAGTGAACATGCAGGCCTGCGTGGTCTGGGCTAAGAAGGGATTACTGCAAGTTTTTTGTTTTAATTTTTTAGGACTGACATGTTGGGGCCCAAAGACTCATAACCCTAAAACTATTCAGCTGCTTTAGGTATTCTTGAATTAAATATCCTTTCTTACTGCTACTGCGCTTACAAACTGGTTTTTGGTATTTCACCTTTAGGGCACTGCTTTGAAAACCTCCTGCGCGTGTAACAGCTGCGTTGTTACCGTCTGACTTCTCTTCGGCATCCTCGGTTCAGTTCCCAGGGGACAGGGGTTGATGTACATCTCTCATTATGAAGCTGCGACCGGGCAGACACTTGAGGAGTTGAGCTAGCCCATTACACTTTTTTTTTTTTCCCCTCCTCTCTTAATTTTGCACTTCACCAGTACTTCTGCAGTTTGTCATCCCAGTAAAGGCTTCCGATTTAAATGGTGTCCGCGTGCTCCAGACCACGACTGATGCTTTGGGAGGCAGAGCAGAGACGGGGCCCGAGGGAACGCCTGTTCAGCCCTGAAGGCCGCCCTTCGCTGTCAGCGCGGCGCAATATTGATGGGCAGCACAGCGAAGCTTTCGTGCTCCTCCCGGGCCTGCAGATAAACCCCCCAGGTCCTGGTGTTACCCAGCTGTCTGGCGTAAACTCTGCCTTTCCTCAAGGTCATTTGCCTGCTCTGTGGTTATCGGTGTTTGGGCTATGATTTATCATTTGTTCCCAGGCCACAGAGGACCAAACAGCTACTCCATTCTGGATATCTTTTTTTTTTTTTCATTTTCAGTATCAAAATCTTGGCCTCTTTCTCTCTTTTTCTGAGCACTGGAACAAATTGCAACTGTTTTGCTGCCCTCATGCTGTGCTTGAGCTCCTTTTGTATGACATACTAGGCAAAGATCACTTGCCTTCTGTATTACCACCAACTGAGAATCAAATACTGAAGGGCTATAGAAAAGTTCTTCATCTGTAATTTCAGATGCCTAAAACCACTTGAAAATTTAAGACATTTCCAGTCTTCTAATGAGAGTATTCCACAGTTGGCTTCTCTTCTTGGTATCATCCTGTAGTTTTTTCTCTGATCCCTAGTTTGAATCATGGAAGAAATCCTAGGTTCTCCTTTTCTTCTTAGGTTTCATCTATTCAAGCAGATGACTAACTCATCATCATTTTAGCTGAACTGAAAAAAAAGTGTTCTGTAACACTGATGATCTTAAAATTCATTGTCAAATGCTGTTTCCTTAATACTGTACTCTTTCCAAGATTCCTTTGATTTCCCTGCTGTGCAGGTAAGCAGAGTAGTAAACATAGAATCATGAAGTGGTTTGGGTTGGAAGGGACCTCTAAAGCTCATCTAGTCCAACCCCCCTGCCGTGGGCAGGGACATCTTCAACTAGATCAGGTTGCTCAGAGCCCCGTCCAGCCTGACCTGGAATGTTTCCAGGGATGGGGCATCCACCACCTCTCTGGGCAACCTGGGCCAGCGTCTCACCACCCTCAGCGTAAAACATTTCTTCCTCATATTTAGTCTGAATCTGCCCTCCTTTAGTTTAAAAGTCATTCCCCCTTGTCCTGTCGCTACAGGCCCTGATAAAACATCCCTTATAAACACATGATGTTGTAGCAGGTCTTTCTGTACAGTTCACTGCCACTCTCTTGCGGCTATTCTCTACCCTCTCCCTTACTACTGAATATGTATTTGCTTTTGTGGGTTTTTTTTTTTGGTTGTGGTTTGTTTTTGTTTTGTTTTGTTTTAAACTGCTTACCTTGATCTCCAATTTATTTTAGCTTACTTTCTCTTTTAAGTGCATTTTCACACCATGTTCCAACACACAGGAAATCTGAAAGGAAATTTGTATCAGAGGTAAGTATTCCAAGATTTTGTTGTAGTTGTTTAAATCTAGATGTTGACTTTTTCCTCCCACCCCCCAGGTTTGAGACATTTAGGCTTTTCTGCTCTCCAAAATACTGGAGTTCATGCTCTCCATGGAACTCCAGGACTTTGTGTCATCTCAGAAGCATCTCTACCCGTTCACCAGTTGTCCTTTAATTTTGGCTAAAAGTGTGGGATTTCTGCACCGCAATAGCCTAAAAGATTGATCTTAGAATGAAAAGAAAACCAAAAAACTCATGCACAAAGATAATTTGCATCCTTCATCTCTGTTGAAGAGGGAACAGAGGCCTTCAGATCACAGTCACCCAAGTAGGGGGAGGTTCTGTTCTCGCAGATGTTTGCAAGCGTAGGACCATGGTGCCAGCACCGAGCTGCAGGGAGACCGAGCAATCTAGAAGCAAGGACAAATAATTTGCTCAAAATTCATTGTTCAAACACCCCCCACCTCCGCATTTTACCTCCTCGTTAGATGTAAGGGAAGAAAGCGGGTCAAGAATCTGGCAGAGAGAAGAAAAGGCTGAACTCACATGAAAGGGGCGTAGCTTGGTGGTTTGAAAAATGTGTTGTCGTGTTGACCGTTAACTCTTCAGATTTAATTATACATGGCATCTGTGTGCGGGGGAAGCCTAGCTCTGAATGCTGTTAATGTGAAATTCATAATCAGATTGCTCAAGTCCATTGAAATTCATGAGGCCAATTCTTAGAACTCCGAAAGTAAGTAATGCAATTATCAAGTCAAGAACGCTTAAAACACTGCGTAAATGTATTTGGAACAAAGTTGAAGATTATGAGATATTAACTCAAACCTGCTGTGGCTTTCACATATCTTATTCTAAAAAGTACAGAAAAACTAAGTGGGCGGGTAGAGTCACTGCAAAAAGTACAAAGAAGGTTCTTCGGGAGACGAAAGAACGGGGCACGCATTTAAATCAGGACCATATGACATCATCTTGGGTTCCAGCTCACGGAGATGGGTTTCCTCTGGATTCCTGTCTCGCTTGTCTGAGTTCTCAAATCTTTTGACCCAGTCAGAGGCACAATCATTATTTTCATCTTATTTCACGTGCGTCTTCCAGTTTATTCTTAGTAGCAGGCTCTAGGAATGCGGGAGCAGGCTGCCTTTTTACTTGACAAGTTGCGAATGCAGTATTAGTGGGACTTCAAAATAAAGTTTGAAGGCTCGTAGATGCTAGGCTTCGCACAAATGCTGCCTGATGCCCCTTGAAAATGCTGGGCGCGTTGCGTTCGGTGTGCCTGTAAGCCTTTTTACGGCCCGCTCCTCCTGGCTGCCAGCTCCCGCGTGCTGCTTGACAAAGATAAGGGCTGGGGACCGACCCGCTCGGCGGCGGAGCAGCTGGGGTGGAATCTTCCTGGCACCCAGCCCAGCCGCGGCTCTGCCTTAGCGAGAGCGTCAGGGTGGGAGTTCACTGCCTACTGGGAGATCGGTTTCCTGGTGGGAGGCAGAGAAGCGGCGTACGCGAGAAAGCCGGCCCCATAAAAGTGCATTCCCACGACTTGGGCGATGAGCCCGTCATTTTAAGAAATTATTTACGGCTCTAGCTGAAAGCGGCGATTTAATAAAGATACCGTTTTGAGCTCTGTTTGGATTTTTCGCTGAATCGGTCCTAGCTGTTTCCACCATGTAGCAAAGCAATTTCAGGCACCGAGAAGGAAATTGGGCTTTCAGTGACTGGAGCAGCCCAAGTGGAGCAGATGCTTTTGTGGGAGCTGACAAAGCTGACGCAGGAAGCTGTGACGAGAGCAGTAATAGAAGATACAGATGGAAAAGACTTGCAGCAGATTATCGCCTTGCTGACACCGAAATTTTGTACCGACGGTAGCAAACCGTAGCAGTTTACCTTTAAAAAGGGAAATCCGTTTCTTTGCACGCTGCAGCTCCCCGTTTTAGAAGTGGAATGTTCTGTATCCTACCGGTTGCCGAATGAAAGGAACAATTAAGAGGCTGCAGCACAAAGCCGGGCAGGGCGCACCTCTGAAAGTCACCTGGCAGCGCTAAACGGGCCGTGCTCCTCTCATGCGTTGGGGGAGGACAAAACAGGTAGCACCAGTGTGAGGAGCCCACGGTATTTTTCTCAAATGCAGGACCTGGACCGAGCGGTTTTGTTGAATGTGGCTTCATCATTAATATGCCACATCATTAATACAAAAATATAAAAATAAAAAAAGGAAAAAAACCCCTGGAGGTGAAAGATTAGGTGTTTGCTCAACTTCTCCTAACAGTGTAACACGCATACTGCAGTACTTAAAAAACTGGAATTGTCCTCTCAGTAAAAGCCTTACAAAGCCTCTTCCTATTTAAGGCTGCCTTGAGGCCCAAAAGCTCATGAAATAATGCAAATACGTGACTGCGATCAAGAGAGTCGAACCACCTCCGCTATAAGATAACAACATTTAGTGCAAAAAGTCTTCACGCCCTGCGGACCGGTAGGAACTGGTTCTACTGGCGTTCCCTTGGGATGCCTACGGTCTTCCGGGTCAGTGGTTCACCTTCTACTTCACACCGTGCGAGTTATTCAGAACAATGTCATGGCAGTTACGACGAGCATTATACCGGCTGCTGTGTCAGAGAACGCAGACGCAGCTGGAAAGGCAGTTCTTGCCCGTTTAGAGAAGATGTTGCCTCAAATATAGCTACACTAATAGAAAATATTGCTGTAATCAGGAGATGGCAAGATAAAACTTCCCAAGTCCTCGCTTTCCCTTTGCTTTTACACCACGTATTTTATCAGATGAAAGGTTTTAAAGGATTACTAGAGCAAATAAACACAAAAAGAACATAGTATTTTGCGAAGGGTTATTCTTGGGTCTTGGGAAAGTCAGCGCGTTCCCGTACCCATCTAAGCCTCTCTGCTACTACTTGGACGGCTCGAAGTGCCTCAGGGCTTATGTGTCATCTTTGTACTTTCATTAATAGACACAGACTTAATATGCACAGATCAAGAATTAGTGAGCCTGGTGGGGAAAAAAGATCTACAGCAGGTAACTTGTAACATTAATAGAAGCAATTAAGAGAACTTTTTAAATTTTCAGTGTAATAACGTGCTTGTTGGCACACCGTTTGAACCATCAGATGACGACGACCAGTAAGAATTCTCACATCCATCCCCAGCTTGCGAGCAGCACCTTGCTAGCAGCAATTTAGACTGATTTCCTAAAGATCGACATTTTATGTCGCAAACTCTAGTTTTGTGACAAATCTTTCTGACGATTTTAAGCGCGTAGGGACTTTTGAATAGATCTGTATTCCACAACTCAATCCTCACAATTCACAATTAATAGGAAAATTCTTTAAGGCCCAGATGTTATGGAAAATCCCTGTAGACATTTTTTTTTTCCTTTTTCCAGGTTCAATGTAAAATTTAAAAGTGCTAAATTATCTGATGTTCCTGAATCATCACAAAGAGATCTGCACAGCCAATATCCTGACTGAAGTCGGCAGCAGGAGGCAAAGTTGTATGTTCTGGGTTCGCTTTTTAATTTATTTCCTTTTTAACTTATTTATACAGTGGTGGTAAAGCGCTTCTTTACCGCCGCTTCGTGTCTACCACTTGATTGTACTCGTCAGCTATCTTACGGCTGCATTCCAATAGCCAATAATGGAATTTTGGGACATTTCCCAATAAAAGTATTCAAAACCTAGTATCTTAATTTAGCCAACAGCTGAAAAGTTCAGTAACCAGAATACGGACAGTCTTCAGAGGAAGATTAGGTCAATCTCAAGGATGTATGGCAATGGTTCTGTAATTAACTGATTTCATTAACAGGCTCCTTTTTGTGAGCACTCCATTTGTTTAAATCCTGAACTAATAAACTGCCCTTGCATTTTAGATGGTCAGTGCACAAATGCCTTGGCACGTAAGTCCACACTCTGTTGACTGTAATTTGATTCAGCGGAGAGGCGTGTCCGTGATTTGGCTGCGGTCAAGGAAGGCGGAATGAGCTGTAACGCTTCAGCAGGTTGAATGGAAGACTCCCCCCACTTTGACACCCTGAGCAGCCAGGGCATTGTACTCCTCCACAGCCTTCTCTGTTTGCAAGACCAACACATCAATCCCGTTTTTCTTCAGGTAGTCCACAGTAGATGGTGGAACCTCCAAAGAGAAAAGGAAATGGGAAGAGCAAGTATTAGATTCTTTTCCCCCCCTCACACTGTAAGGCTTGAAGAAAAACAGGTGCTGATGGCATTTGTTAGTAGGGGCACTTAAGTAACTGATAGTACCCAAACTGATAATATGCTCAGATATTTCTACGACTGATATATAGTTTTTTTCTCTTCAGTAAAGCTACTTTTATATACACGCCTCCCATCTCTCCTTAACACGGTTTAACAGGCAGCCCTTTCTTACGAAAGGAATAGAATTGGAGCTAAAGGTAATTAATCTAAAGAAGGTGTTACTTACCTCACTGAAAAACTAAAGAATTGCTTCTCATGAAGTGAAGCTCAGCACTTCTGAGCTTTCTGTAGCTAGTTTATCTGCTGAAATGACACCCTGCCAGCATTAGTAACAAAAACACCTAATTATCAAAGTATTTACAGCAGGCTAGAGGGTGAGTTCATAACCTATTCTAAGAGGGGGAACTTAATGACATTGTGAAAAATTCTCCTTGTTTAAATTACTCCTGTAGCAGAACGAAAGCCTGTTCACTGCTTGACATTGACACCAACAGAGAGGAGCGTACATGATGTTTCTTTCAGGAGGAGAGTGACTCCTGGCAGGAGCACAGTCATGCTAATTCAGCATCCTGAATTTTTTCCCTCTTAGGAAAGCATCATAGGTTCCCCCACACGCACACACTAATCAGAGGGGGAGGGAAAACAGCCAGTTCTAGTTTATGTTTATCACAGAACAAAAACCTACCTGCAAAGCCTCACTCATGCCACGACCAATCACCACAGTTTTAACACCCTTCCTGACGACTTCTTCAAGGTCAGCTGGTTGCACTCCTGGAGAATGCTAAGTGTCAGGGGAAGAAAATAATAGTCTGTGTACTGACAGCGTCAACCAGGAAAGCTTCGTCTATATGTTTTGAAACTGTCCACGGAGCAGCAGGGTAAATTAGCAGTACCAAAATGTAACACAACACTCTTTTCTGCATACACACAGTAGGTAACGTTGGTAGTGAAAAAAGGCATTTTATATGCAGATGAAGGATGATAGTTAATCAATTGATGGCAATATTATCACTTTATTAAACGGTTAAAAATAAAAAGATGCATTACACCTTTCTAAAACATTTATATCTAACAACTAGCATTTTATAAATATTAAAAGTTAAAGTGAAATCAATAAATTGCAACCTATCGCCCTTTGTTTTCAAATGAACAAAACCTTTTTGTAATAAAGATTGTGGCAAGACGAAGTTCACTCTAATTACAAAGAGTCACTTTATTAAACGGTTAAAAATAAAAAGATGCATTACACCTTTCTAAAACATTTATATCTAACAACTAGCATTTTATAAATATTAAAAGTTAAAGTGAAATCAATAAATTGCAACCTATCGCCCTTTGTTTTCAAATGAACAAAACCTTTTTGTAATAAAGATTGTGGCAAGACGAAGTTCACTCTAATTACAAAGAGCTCCTCAAATAATTAAAATGATTAAATTCTTTTCTTGTTTACTTTGCAAATCTCATTTACCAAAGAGGACTGAAACATATTGGTTAGCTTCATTTCAATTAACAGTTTCAACTTCTGCACTATTCTTAATTTTGAGAAAGGAATATTTGAAAGCAAATTCCTCAAAGAAGAAAAGAAGAGCTTTAACAGCATGTTGACTGAGTTTTTGAAGAAGTACACCCATTTACTACTAGTACGCTTTAAACATATGAATCCACAAATACGCCTGTAATGTTAATGTAAAGCACTGTGTCACACTAATTCTCCTCCTGGATTCAATTTCTGTGTATCTCTGCATGGCCAAGAGTAAGATACTGTACAACCTGTGGCCAGAGTTTGGCCCCTCAATGGTGTGCATTTTTTTTAAACCATAAATAATACTATTTGCCCCCTCCCCCCCTTTTTTTTGGTAGGATTCTTAAATTCTTTTAGAGGACTGAGATGAGTTTCTCACTTGAAGTAGGCAACACCGTGGTGGACTCCTGGAGAATGTTATTTTTATGGAGATGCCCATATATCTTTATCCCCTATACTTCCAGAAAATACTACATTCTTCCAATGAATTAAGGTCAAAGCACCAGCTTAACAACTGGTTTCTGTTGTTCCATTGTTAGTGAGCTTTACTCTTTGATGTCCTTGGGTCCTCTGCTATTCTTTTTCCCCTGCCCAAGTCGTCAGCAGCTGATGCTGCAGCCTCTCACAAGGTGTCAGAGGAGTTCTCTTCTCAGCCCTGTCAATGCAGAACAGAGCAAGCAAGACTTTTCAAGCTGAAACGAGCACATGAGCTCCTGAAGTTACAGGTGAGGGAGACCTTCCATGGTAGAGTGCCGCTTTCAATGAGTGGATTAAATTTATCCCACCAGAAAGTCTTTAGCCTGGCTGGTATCTGGAATTTCAGCAACAGAGATTGTCCACCTTTACGGTTCTCCAAATTGTGTTCCCCTTAGTCCATTTACATTTGATATCCACACCTGGAATGCGGAGGTCACTTCAGCAGGCAGAGCTTCCTCAGACCGAATCACTGCAAGTACATGTTTATGACAGAACAGGTAATGCTTTGCCTTTGGGGATTTTAAAGCAGACTCAAAACTTAGACAAAAAGAACTGGTACGGTTTACTGCAATTACAATAATTAGATCGCTGGGGAAGGTTTGCTGTCATACGATAAGTACTCCTGAGACATTAAAGCCATGGAATAAAAGGATTTTCTTCGGTTACACAAGACATGCTGATGCGGGGGCTTCCACATGTTTCACAGGAAACTAGTGTCATTAAAGGAAACATGTAACACAACGGAATCACTGTATCATTGCTGATTTGACAGCTGGAGGGAAAGAGAAAGGGCAGCGGAATTTCTTGCCTGTTTTGTGCTCCGGTCTTCCTTTCAGGATTCCTACTTCTCTTCTCCCGTTAGCAGATGGCACTGAAATCCAGCCAGCCAGGGAGGCTGCCTTTCATCCCCAAGGGTTAAGGCCATAAGAACTATTAGTACTTAGTTACAGAACCTTGCAGAGCCAGTTATACAATTTTCCCGATGAAAGAATTACGTACTAGAGAGCAGTCTGATAGCAGAGAAGGAAAGGAAGCAATTTATTTCCAACTAGAGTGTGGGACATGACCAGCGCTGCTTGTTTCCCAAACTTCAGCTCCACCTACCCCCAGGAAAAACATGCTCAAAGAAAGCAGACACACTGTAGTCCACCATGAGGAAACGCACAGAAAATGCATCTGGTGAATCCTGCTGTTTCCAGTGCTGATGGGATTAACTTTTTTATAGTTCTTCTAGAGTTGGAGATGCAGTCTAGAAAAGCTTAGTTCTATTCTCACATTTGTCGCTTGCTATTCATTTTTAAACCAAATCACCTAACTCCTCATAGCTGCAAGGGGGATAGAACCGACCTAAAGCAGGAGCTTTACAAGTAACCTATAGAATAAGGCAAAAGATAAATAGGTATTTTTTTACTTCCTGAGGATATAAAAAGGATGCCAGAAAACCTACCTCTCCAAATAACCCAACCTTTTTCTTTTTTCCCCCCTCTGATTTTAATTTAACATAGACTCGTTTTTCTTGTTTCAGTTGGAGGACTCCTCTAAGCACTTTTATGGACTTAAAGCTTTTATCTGTCACCTGAAGATATCCCTTGTTAGAAACTTTAAAAGGAAAGCACAGCCTCCTAAATGCTAGTGGGTGGTTATAACGTGAAACCAAAGTTTTCAAGTGGTCGGAATGAATATCAAAATGTGATTGAGCTGGGAACTAGTTGGGAACTTTTCAGCTACTGTATCTGTTCTGCTTCTCCCATCATACGTGCGTATAAACCAGGAAAACAGTACTGTCAGACAAACCAAAAGCGACTCTCACCGCACAACCCCCCCCCCCCCCCCACCCCCCCCCCCCCAAACAGCCAGCGAAAACTTCATTTTTTATAATCAGACCATAAATGAAATGCATTTAAAAAGGTTACATACACAGCTATCTTTCTCTCTGCAAGGTACGGGTATCTTTGCATAACAGCACTACCTTTCTCTTGGCGTTATATACTCTGTATAAACTGAACTCTGACAGCTTAAAAAACCTCTGTTCCCCTACGGATTATAGATGAAGTTCCAAAACAAAAGGTTCTGCCCTTCAATTGTGCCAAAATGAATTCAACAGTCCTCTGTGTGGACACAGCTGCAGGTGCTGGGTCCAAGGCCTGATCACTATGTAGTTCTTTTGTGCTTTAACTTTCACTTAGAAAGTATGGTTTGGGTTTTTTCCTAGCCAATACAGCTATTCTAGTGCAAGCCCTAATACGGGGAGAATTATCATCGAGTTCCTAATGCAACAGACATTATGCTGCTTCTAAATCTGGAACGTCAATACTATTCCATGTACTTTTATACGATTCTATTAGCATTCACAGATAAAGTTTAAAAATTGTGAGGGCAAGTACTTAGTATATGGCTACCAAGAGAAGTCATTGGGTGGTTAGCTAGACTGTGAGCTTTTCACGGAGAAACTAGTGCATATGACACTGTATCTGCATATTTTTCCTCTGAAACAAGTACAAGGGACCCCAAGGAAAAGGATGTAAACTAAACCACATGCGTTGCTGTCTTCCAAACACATAAGGTCAGTTACTGACGATTTCTTTTAACTGCCCATAAATTTTTTTCCTATCTCACTCAAGACAACTTTTGTTTACACAGCCTGAAAAGAGGTTGTTACCAGCATCTGAGCGACAATGGCGCTCTTAATCAAACGCAGAATGCCGTTTGAGAGCTCTAAGGTGTGTGAGAGCGGTCTGGTCGGGGTAGCTGTGAGGACTGGTGACAACAGTCGTTACACCCTGTCACCTGTAGGACGTTCCGTGTCTGCAGTCCTCTGACCTCTCCGCACAGTCACTTCTGAAACATACACTCCGTTCTTACCAGGGAAAGTCTAACGATTAGATGAAAGCAAAAGGCAGCCTGCTGAATTTCTGGCTGGAACTTTAACAACTCTTCTCTGGACCACTCTCAGAGTCCTGGCTGGAACTTTAACAACTCTTCTCTGGACTATTCTCAGAGTCCCGCTTAAAATGCAGGATGGATCGTAAACAGCAAACTTACATTGGTCCCAGTTTCTCGCCAATCCCAGGTTCGGCTTCCTCCCGGCCATACTTTGCAGTCCTTATACGTTGTAGAGCAGCCTTTCACCTTCATCTGACCCCAAGAAAGGGAAGCAATTTCAGGGGAAGACATCACAAAGTTGAAGCAAAGTCTGGAAAAAGGATATTTAATACATAACATCAGGCTAACATATGCAGCACGTTAATAAAAACGGAAAATTCTGTCCTTGCCCCAAGGAGCTGGGAAGGAAACGCTGTTGCAGACTTTATCCACGTGATTTTGTGACAACAGAACTGAACTGAGGATCGGCAGATTTGTTGAATTACCAGTCCTCTTGGGGATTTTGTGCAGGATTTGGGGCAAATCATTTTACATGCTAAATCTGTACAAGTATTGGGTGCTCAACTTTTAAAACTATCAACAGGGATCAGGTCCCAGAATATCCTCTCGTATCTGGGTTTTAATCTTTGCCCTAAAACCTACAATGAAGATGACAATAATTTCCTAAAATATCTGAGAGAGACACTGTTTCTTCGGCCCTCTAAACCACATTGGCATGTATCGGTTTATTAATTTAAGACAGCAAATGAGGTTAATAAAAATCCCAAACAAACCAACCCAACAGAAAAGCTGTCAACAAGACAATGGCACTGCCATATTGCTTCAGCAAACAAGACTTTCAGGGACCTAAAGGGGTCAAGCCTTCTTCCCCTAGTCACTCCTTACAGAGGCCAAGTCTCCCTGTGTAATGTCTCAGGACATAAGCACCCAAATAACATCTTTTCTAATGTTGACCTCAGTCTCACTGTTTCAACTTAAAACCAGCATTTCTAATCCTTTCTATTGTGGACAAGGAGAACAGCTTAATCTTTTCCATCATCTTTTGTTTTCCTGAGGACTTAACTCTCAGTCTGTTTTCCCTTCTTTTAGATTAAATAAACTTCACTTCCCTTCAGTCATGTTTTCTAAATCTCTGCTTATTTTCCCCTTTTTCCCTGGCAGCCAACAACTGGCATGCCCCTTTCTTTGATGTCTGTTGCCTGAAACTAGACAGAGTGCTCCAGCTGAGGCCTTATCAGCGCTGCTACAGACCAGCCGCTTTTTGGTATTATTAACCCTAGTAATTTTTAGATCTGCTATCACGGTCACAGCTGGGCATCAGCAGGGCAGGGACTCTGCCTCAGAAAGTACCGCCTCACCGCACCATGAAAGCTCACGCCCTCTTCACAGTCCTTCATGTTACTGCAGTCTGATCGCTGGTGTGATTCTGGCACTCGATGGCAAGATAGGAATCACACAGCAATACCCTGGAAACGTGTTAGACTAGCGTGGCAGTCAACTGACGCGTCTCAAGGGTAGAGTCACCTTTCTGCCCTTCCAGTTCAGAAGGAAGATGGTCTGAAACCCGCATATTGAAGAAAGCTGGTTGTTTCTGCGGTAGAGAGAGCTCTGCTCTTCTGCCGATCCAGAAAACCTCAGTGGCAGATCCTTCCAGATACACAGTTTCTCACCCTTTGCTTTTTAAGCTCTTTCCAGAATCCAGAAAACCTCAGTGGCAGATCCTTCCAGATACACAGTTCCTCACCCTTTAATTGTTCAAATTCACCGGGAAAAAAAAAAATCAATCATAGGAACCCTGGTGGCATGAATTAAAGAAAGAGTGCTCACAAAAGAGAAATCTTTGCATTACCAGGCTTCCAGTCCTCCTGGAAGCCTCCCTTTCTGTCTTGCACGTGCTACAGCAAACCAGAGTATGGCCAGACAGGACATGCTCTTCTCGGATTGCCAGGAGCAGAGCTCAGTATCCCGCTTCAAACGTCGCATGAAGTAAAAATTGCGTTACTTTGGATTCGGCACAGGGCTGAGCCTGCCAGAGGAGCTTCTTCCACAGAATAGTGGGGCGATTCTTTTCTTTCTTGCTCCTTTGTCACGTTAGCGGCACATGTGCCCTGCCAAACAGGAAGCCCGGCAAGCAGCTACAGGGGAGCGAAACTTGCCTGGATTCGTATATTCTAGATTCTCTCATTATATATCTGCAACGCAATGGATTCAAACAAAGGTTCGTAAGACTATTTTTCCAAAAATCTGCTTGAAGGGAGATTATAGCAGAAGAAATAACCAGCAGTAGTCCCAACAGAATGAAATCACGCCTCAACCAAAGAGTAAAGGCTGAATAAACCATCCAGAACCTGGCTCTGAACAATGAAAATAATTTTTGCCTGTGCTAGTTTTGAGAGGAAGCGGCAGAATTAGACCTGGAGGTTAGACGGAGGTGAATGAACAATAAAATGATTAGGAAGATCAGATTTCCCAATCCAAATAGTATTACAAGGCTGGGACTGTGCAATCAAACAGGCACAAACTGCAAACGGGAGAGCAAGGGTTCCACATGATCTTTTCCAAACAGCACAAAAGTAAGTAAAGAGCAGAAAGGAAGAAACAAAACTTAAAAGCCATAAATGAAAATCTGTAATCGAAAACTAGTTCCCATAATACTGCCAGAGAATATCAGTAAGGTCAGGTTATTTGAATTAATAAGAATATCTTAAAATGGAGTAAGAATGAACTTTTCAACAGGAACTTTGGACATTCTTGATGCAGGGCACGGTCCAATCACCAATCAGCAAGGAGTAGGAAAATATTTCCCCAACAAATGAGCTGGTTTTTTAATTATTCACCATGACAAATGTACAGTACCAAAATATACGGTACCACTTAAGATCAAAAGAGACCATGAACTGTACGACTCACAAGTATAACCTAAAATAGCAATTTCTGTATATCGCAGTAGTCCAAACACAGAGACGAGGAGGAGAAATGGTTCAGGAATCTATAGGCAAAGTTATGAGAGTTTAAAAACATGGGAAACAGAGGAAGCAGAAGAGTTTACAAGGAGGCAAAATCCAAGTGTATGCAAGGAGCCTATATGGAAAGAAAGAAACAAAGCCGTGGCTAAGGATGGCAGAAGAAAAAAATAGCTGAGGATGAAACAGAAGAAACCCGAGACTGAAGTGCAGTCGGGCAAGCAGGTGGATTTTAAAATTGCCAGCACACCTGCCTTCCGTGAAGGTAAGTGTTGTTTCAGAGTGGCACCCACCAGCAACAAATAGAATAAAGAAGGTGAACGAGAGCAGCGCACCAGAGAATATTTTATTGAGACCGCAGAAGGTAAGAATGTTTCATAAAATCCAAGGCACAACCTGAGATCAAAGAGGATAAAGGTGAAAAGAGTAAATTGGCGTATGTCAAGTTTCAGGCGGAATAACTCCTCTAAGGTATGGAAAGACAACGGACGTAGCTCTCCAGCACTGCCTGGGAACAGGGTCAACGGGTGAAGGTGGGCGACTTCCCTGCGGGCGATGCAATTTCAGAAGCGATACAGCGGCTAGAAAAAGCAGTTCAGGATTTAAAAACTGACAGCAGAAAGGCAAGTAGAAAGGACAGGCTAAGTTTAAACGAACTGGGTAGGGAGGGGGCAGATGTCAGGTTTAAGAACGAAGAAAACATTTTTTTGGGAACTCGGTAACCTAGTTTTGCAGGGGAGCTGAGGAAGGCGAATTATCGGGGGAGGTCACGGAGGGCGGGGTGCTCCTAAGAGGTGAGGGGGAAGAACAGCATTTTAAAGCCAAGGCGAAAACATTTTTTTGGGAACTCGGTAACCTAGTTTTGCAGGGGAGCTGAGGAAGGCGAATTATCGGGGGAGGTCACGGAGGGCGGGGTGCTCCTAAGAGGTGAGGGGGAAGAACAGCATTTTAAAGCCAAGGCGGGGGGAAGGAAGGAGGAGAGGACAGGGAACGGAG